CTTCCGCGCCCCCTGCGCCCCCGGAGACCTCCGTGCGTCCTGCGCCCCCCACGCGCCCCGGGGAAAGTTCCTACTCGTCAATTTCACACGTAATTTACAATAACCATCCGGATTCCTCCGCGTCGCCTAGGAAACGGCCCGGCGAAGCCACGGCCGCCTCCTCGGAGATCAAAGCCCTGCAGCAGACCCGGAGGCTCCTGGCGAACGCCCGGGAGCGGACGCGGGTGCACACCATCAGCGCAGCCTTCGAGGCGCTGCGGAAGCAGGTACCGGCTCCCAGCCGCACATTCTCCCTGCGCCCGGGGAAGAGCGCCCGAGCGGGTGGGCGAGTGCCCGGGGGACTTATGGAGGGTTAGGGGTGTTTGTGAGGGGCAAGTTGTCCCCGCCCGGTGGGCCCCAGGACCCAGACAGGTTTGGGTCCTCCTGGAGTAGTGACCTTTGCTACAGCCTTGGTACGTTTCTTAGTTTGCAAAGTGGGGGTGAAGGTCCCCCTGAGGCATGCTCTGGCCGTCCGCGCCCCGCCCCTCCCCGCGGCACTGGTAGTTAACTTTTATGACCGCGAGTATTTGTCTCCCGAGTTCCTTGGGAGCGGTGGGGAGTGGAAAGGGGGGATGTGGGAATGTGTCTCGGCCGGGGAAGGGGAGAAGACCGCTTCGGGCTTTTGAGATGGTCGGGGAAGATTGCCTGAGTGGGTGCGTGAGTGCCCGGGAGGCCTAGAACGCCGAGAAGGGAGGTCCTGGGGTTGCGGGAATAGCAGGGTCCCGCAGTCCCTCCTCAGCCCCTGTCTCCCAGGAGGGCTGCCCCTGCACTCAGGTTGCTTTCGGGCTCTGCACCCCTTGCCCTGGCGTCCTGAATGCCGCCGGCTACAAGCCTGCTCCCTCTCCCCAGGGGCGGCCTCAAGAGCTGGCTGGTGAGAGCCTTCCCAGGGGATCCCCTCCACCGCTGCCCTCCATTCTCCGGTGAAGCAGGCAGTTGTGGGGTAGGTCAGGGACTTCTCAGTTTGGGGCTGGTTGGGGTAGGTCTCACCCCACAGTGTCTTTTGCGGCGGATGGGTGGGGAAGGGCACTTTTACAATTCCACTTTAGACAAGATTACCCTCTGGTTCTAGGCTTCTCATCTTCTTAGAGAGAAGGGAGATCTGAGAAGAGGTGGTTAGGGCCCCCTGCTCCCACCTGCACAGGGAATGGAGAAGGGCAGGGGTGGGTGTTACTGGTTTGAGTAGTCAGGTTTTTTTCTTGCTCAGCAGCTGACTTCCTGTGTGACTCCAGGGAAGTTACTCAACCTCTCTGGGCTTTCGCCAGCAACAAAACAGTTCAGAAAGCATGATCTTCTTGTTGGATCACACTCTGCTCTTCCCTCTGTGGGTGGGGCAGGCAGTGGTGCCTGTGTCCATCCATGGGAAGGGAATTGAACTGCTGGGGGAAAAGCCCCATGACTGTTCAGCCAAAGTGCCACCCACGGATTTGGGTTAAGATGTTTGTTTGCTCAGTGAATTGGGGTGGGGGTGGGGGGTCAAGTAGCTGACACAGACCAGGCTGAGCCACATGCCAGTTGGGACCCTGGGCAGTGGGCCCAGTGGAGCATTCAGTCCTGCCCTCAACCAGTAGCCTGCATCTGAATGCCTCAGGAGGGTGGCAGCCTATAGAGTCCTGCAACCCACCCCTCAGGACGGAAGGATGACAGGAGGCTGTCCACCTGCTCACCTTGCTTCCCAGACTGGAGAGGCCACATGCCCAGAGCAGCACAGCTGGTGGGTAGCAGGGCAGGGCTGGCACTTAGGTCCTTTGACTGCCAGTTCAGGGCCCTTTCTCTCCCTCTGGCCTCCTCTTTCAGTGTGAAGAAACTATATTAGAGGTGGCGGGACTGAGGTTCAGGGAGCTTATGCCAGGTGAGGGAAGCCTCGCAGGTTTTGCACTGCACGCCTCCTTGGCATGCCATTCACTAGACTCGTGTGCTGGTGCTTCCTTGGCATGGTGCAGCCGCAGCCTGCATAGCTTGTACCACCGTCATTGCAGAGCCTGCCTCGAATCGGTGTCAGTGAGTCACTCCCGTGCCCAGGCTCTTGACAGCTCTGCTCCTCAGTCTGGAATGCCTGAGAGCTGTCCACCCTCAGCACATGGAAGCCATCCTGTTTTGTCCACCAGGAAGGGAGCATGCGGGACTGGCTGCTTAGCCATAGCCCTGCAGGTGGGGGCCAGGCCCTCTGGTCTGGGGGGTGCGTGACAGCGAGGCCAAGATAGTGGGTGTGCGGGGCAGATGGTCAGGCCTCAGCACATGCCACCAGCCCAGCTGCACCGGGCCCTCCCTGCTCCTCATGTGAAGGCCATGTGTGCACAGCTGGGCCAGGCCCATGTGCAGGGCTGCTCCAGGACCAGGTGGGAGGGGCTCGAAGGGGAAGCCCGGCCTTGCGGGGTGGGTGAGAGGAGGGGCGGAACCTTCTGGCTCACAGACTGTGCTTACCCTTGGGGCATCTGGCATGTGTGCAGATTGCCGGTGCCCCCTGGAAGCAGGAAGCCCTCAGCCTTGGTGAGGAATGGCAGGCGGAGGCCTGAGGCGTCCGTGACGAGCCCTCAGGACTTGCTGAAGTGCCTTTTCATGAAGGAGGTGCCACATAGGTGGGGCCTGGGTCCCCTCCTCTGCTGCCCGTAGAGCACGGGTGGGCAACCTTTTTGTGAGTGCGTGCCAAAACCAGCGAAATCTCTGACTCAAAATTCTTCTGCGTGCCAACCCTAATTTTTTGAGAACATGTTATGCCTACTTGATATTTCTTAAGGTGTACGTATGTGAAGAAGCTTGAAGAAATAATAAAATTCATTCGAGTGACAAAAACACAGTATATGATGATGAAAAATACATTTATTTTTTAATGTATACATATACACTGATAGTCCGACAGAAAACTTTATGACTCCGTTTGATATTATCAGTGGGACTTTTGCTGCTGCATCACTGATGACAGAGATTTTACATCAGGTTTATATTTCGTGACCTTCAGAGATATTCACGAACTACTACTTTCATCCGTCAGGCTACTCCTATTACTAGACTTAACAAAATTCATCACTGAGAACAAAGATTCACAAGCATATGTGGATGAAACTAAAACACTGGTAGGATCTAGGAAGGCAGGGAGAGTTAAGGCAGAGGTATAGAAATTGCTCTTCTCCTCTCTGGTCAATCCACGTCTATGGTCTTTAAGATAACTTATTATGTAAAATTATTTATTTATCTAAGATGCACCTACACTGAATTTATCTAAAAAATAAAAAAGTCGATATTCAGAAAATAATTGTAAATGGAAGATTGTAAGAGAGGGTTTCGCGTGCCAGCAAAAGTTACTGGCGTGCCAGGGGTTGCCCACCCCTGCCCTAGAGTCTCCCCGTGGATCCTCACTAAGGGGGTTCAGGGTGGCTCAGATGGGCTGTGGGGATGGTGCCCCCACCCCTGCACCTCTCAGCGTCAGACCCCTCCAGCCATGTCCACAGTCAGCAGGGCGGCAGCTTCGGAGTCTCACTGCATTGGGCCTGTGGTTGGGCATTGCGGTGCTCCCTCCCCATGCTGCAGACGAGGACACTTACAGGGAGGTTAAGCAATGGCCGGGATTTGTACCTGGGCCTATCTGGCCCTGCGGCCATGACTTAATTACTAAGACTCAAATTCTCAGGGTCTAGCCTCGTTGCTGTGTAGAAAGCTGGGATTTTCAAGAACCCATTTCAATAGAACTTGACAGCGACCTAGCTCTGTATAGAGGGGCTTTGTCTCAGAAAGTCTGCACTCAACTGACACAGTAATTTCAAATGAAATCAGGTGCTAAGCTGTGTTCTGTGCGCGATATTGGAGCTCTGTGGGGTCAGGAGTCTTGGTGGGCTTCCAGGAGGGCGTCTTGGGCTGGGGGAAGGGTGGGCGGGAGCTGGCACAGAGGCCAGAGGGCTTACAGCCCCTCCTGAACTGGGTAGGTTCTTGGCTTGACTTCTCTGTGGCACCTTCCCGCCTTTGCCCACAGCGATTTCATTCTGAGGTCGCAGGTATTGTGTGCCCCTTTTATTGGTGAGGAAACAGAGGTCCCCTAAGGTTATGGACCTGCCGAGGTCACGTGGTTGGCCAGGGGTGGAGCCAGGCCCTCAGGTGCCCAGGCCAGTGCCCTCTTCACTTTCTTCTGCTTCCTGGAGCCTGGAGAGGGTCCAGCTTGGGGTGGATGGGTGGAATGTTCTGAGGGCAAATGGGACCTTGTGAAAACCCTCATGTTTGCTCCTCGGAAGCTGAAAAATCATTGTGGAGTGAGCACAAGGCAGTCCCTTTACTTTCCCCGAAGTTGGGCAGGCTTGGGAGTTGGAGCCAGGCGACCCTGCTGCCTCCTTTGTCCTGTGTCCTCTGGCCAGAATGGGCAGACCTCTGCACTGGAGCTCTCTGCAGGCGGTGGGGTAGCTGGGCTCTGGACTCACTGTGGATGCTCAAAGGCTGGGGTCCCAGGGGATCAGTCCAGAACTCTCCGCCTGCCCACCTCCCCACCTTATGCTGTAGACGCCCATCCAAATCTCCAAGCAAGTCCTTCTGGCCCATTGGAAAAAGCCCAGCTAAGGTGGGAGTTCAAAACCCAAAAAATCTCCCACCAGCTAAGAGTCCTCCACTGTCCAATGCTCCTGTAAAGTAGAAGCAATGCTTTCTTTCTCTTGGGGCTGTTTTAAGATGAACGTAGGCCTTGTATTCAAGATCCTCAGCTCTCTGCCTGCCTTGGTAGAACACAATAAACAGCCAGGGGTGGCCTGGCCCGAGGGGACATGGAGGGCAGGCCGAGGTCACTAGCCCCACTCTACAGATGAGGAAACTGAGGCTCAGAAGTGAGAGGCACTTGCTCTGACTCACACTGCTGGGAAGTGCCCGGATTCAGACCAGCTCTTCCTCCCGACCTTGGCCTCCCAGAACTAGAACTTGCCATTGGATTCTCACTCTGCAGTCGCTGCCCAGGCTGGGGTGCCTCCAAGCTGGGCTCTCAGAGCCCAGGTGCTTCATCCTGCAGATCAGGAGGATCTGGAATTAGCCTGGGCAGCTGAGGGGCATCCCCCTCCATGGAGGGGAGGAGGCGGAGGAGGAGTGATGTGGCCAGAAGTTGCCTTTGGTGTCTCATATATGGCCACCTCTGGTGGTGGGAGCTGGGAGAGCCCAGTGGCCATGTGCCTTCCTTGGGCATCAGACAAGCGTGTGGTTCCAGCCAGGTCTTAGCCGTGTGACCTGGGGCCCAATATGTCACCTCTCTGTTCCTTAAATGCAGATGGGATAATAACCGGGTTTTTTTTTGGGGGGGGGGGGGCGGTTTTTTTTTTTTTTAAAGTTTTTTTTTTTGTTAATCCTCACCTGAGGATATTTTTCCATTAATTTTTAGAGAGAGTGGGGGGACACACACACACACAGAGAGAAACATTGACACATTGATTGGTTGTCTCCTGCGTGCACGGGGGATGGAGCCTGCAACTGAGGTATGTGCCCTTGTCTGGAATCGAACCTGCAACCCTTCAGTCCACGGGCCAGCGCTCTATCCACTGAGCCAAACCAGCTCGGGCTGGGAGAAAGGTTTTAAATGGGATAAAACTCCTTACCGATAGCTGCCTCAGTGCCAGCTATGCAACCAGAGCTCAGTAGGTAGTTTTCTCGTTGGACCTGGACTTTGACAGGAGCAGCAGGACAGAGTGGCAAATCCGAGACAAAACTGGCCCAGAACCTGGCACCGGGGCCCCTAGGCCGGCCTTGACCTTATCTGCTGCTCTGTATTCCCGCAGTCACCCTGGATCCCGTGTGCAGGGCCCTCCTGAGATCCCTGCTCCCAACTGGCAGGGAAGCCAGCTGTTCAAGGGCCAAGGGCTCACAGAGCTGAATCACTCCCAGCATGGCCTCTGGTGGAAACAGCGCTAGGGCCTGTGTCACAGACCTGTCCGGGGCCGCCGGGGCGGGCACGCCCTCCCGGGGTGCCTGCCCTGTCTCAGGACTCTCAGGCACCTTTCTGTCCCACAGACCTGTTTATTTGTTCATGTTGATAAAGCAGGATTCTCTGGCCTCTGGTTGGGAACAGGCAAAGTGCATTGTTCTGCCGGCTTTTCTTGGATGGGTTTGGAGCTGAGGCCAGGCTGGGAGTGGGAGGTAGGAAGGGGAAATGCATGGGAGTTGGCGCTCTCTCTGTCACCTCCCTGCCCCTCCCCGGGTTTCCTAGTCTGGTGAGGGGCGACTCCTTGGCTGCTGGAGCATTTTATTTTATTTTATTAAATATATTGTTACCCTAACTGGTTTGACTCAGTGGATAGAGCGTCGGCCTGCGGACTGAAGGGTCCCGGGTTAGATTCTGGTCAAGGGCATGTACCTTGGTTGCGGGCACATCCCCAGTAGGAGGTGTGCAGGAGGCAGCTGATCGATCCAGGTTCGATTCCAGTCAAGGGCATGTACCTTGGTTGTGGGCACATCCCCAGTGGGGAGTGTGCAGGAGGCAGCTGATTGATGTTTCTCTCTCATCGATGTTTCTAACTCTCTATCCCTCTCACTTCCTCTCTGTAAAAAATAAATAAAATATATATTTTAAAAAATAAGTTGTTATTGATTTCAGAGAGGAAGGGAGAGGGAGAGAGAGATAGAAACATCAATGATGAGAGAGAATCATTGATCGGCTGCCTCCTGCACGCCCCCTACTGGGGATCGAGCCCACAACCCGGGCATGTGCCCTTGATCAGATTCAAACCTGGGACCTTTCAGTCCGCAGGCTGATGCTCTATCCATTGAGCCAAACTGGCCAGGGCCTGCTGGAGCATTTTAAAAGGTGACAGCAAACCTTGCTTCCGGTGTGGGTGCGTCTCAGGACCCCCAGGGGGGAGGGGACAGCAGGTGCTGTGCCCTGGCTGCAGGTGTCCTGCCTCTCGCCTTCTCCGGAGCCTCTCTTTGGAGACTGTGCTGTTTGGCTGAGTTGTATCAGGCCTTCCTCTGGGCGGTGCAGATGCCATCTCATTGACTCGCGACCACGCTGTGAGGTCAGTCCTGCCAGCAATGTGATGAGGACGCCAAAGCTCAGAGAGATTCTGCCACTCGCCCAGGGCTTCAGAGCAAGGAAGGGCTAGAGCCAGGAGTTGAACCAGGTGACCAAAAGGTCTGTGTGCTTAAGCTCTAGGCCTAACTCCTCATCGTCAGCGTGAGGAAAGGTTTTGGAGCCCAGTTTTATACATTCTGGAGTCACCTGGTGAATGTGGAGGGAGCTCATTCATTTTCTCATTCAACAAACCCTTTCAGGTGCCTGTTACAGGCAGGACCTGCGCTGGGCTCTGCATACTGGGGCTTCCCCCACCACTTACAGGGAGACTGATCATTAAATGAGGGGGAATGAAGGACAGATGGGGTGCTATTAGAGCACTATCAAGGGCAGGCGCACCCCCTCCCCACCTTACTTTCAGCCACAAGGTTTGGGGCGGGGGGGGGTTGGGGGGCAGTCAGAGAAAGCTCCTGGACAAAGTGAGGTTTAAAGTGAGATCAAAGTGGATGTTACATTGAGGGTCCCCCTCTGAGGTGCCCGTCTTGTTCATGCTTTATCCCAAGGGCCTAGAACAGGGTCTCTCACTTCAGCACTGCTGGCATTTGGGCTGGGTATTTTCTTGCTGTGGGGGCATCGTAGGATCCTGTGCATGGTAGGAGGATTAGCTTCTACCCATGACAGGCCAGTAGCAACCCCCATGCTCCCCAGTAGTGACAATCAAGAGTGTCTGCAGGCATTGCTCACTGTCCCCCAAGGGACACAGTTGTCCCCGGCAGAGATCCACTGACCTAGAGCAGTAGCTGGCATGGGTGTCTGTGCTCACTAAATACTTGTTGAATGCACGTGCCATGGGGGTCCCTCTCTGTGGGATGAGGGTATCGGGACCAGATACCAGGGGCAGATAGATCTGCAGCGTGTAGATTCTAGAGCCCAGAGAGGGGAGGAAATCCGGAGCCTTGGTGGCCGGGCGAGCACGCTGGGCCGTCCAGGCGAAGGACTCCTCCTGGCAGCGGTGGCTCTGATGATGCGCCCTGCCCGGCGACTCGTGGTGACCTTCCCACATTACAACACAGGCCTTGCTGCAGGCCTCATAGGTGTCTGCTCATGCAGCCCAAACGCGGGTGACAGTGTCAGAGTTAGAGGCTCCCTCTCTTCACCTGGTACACATCCCTGTGCCATTAGTGAGTGTCTAGTTGGTGGTGAGTCACTGACAAACGTGTCCAGTCTGGTTGGGGCTGTAAGTATTTGTTATGCACGTGTTGTATGCCCAGCGGCGTCTCAGGTTCAGAGGGCACAGAGAAAGCAGAAAAGAAAAAGAAAGCCTACTATGTGTGTGCCCTCTCCTCTGAGCCCTGTCTATTGGTGGTGAGTCACTGACAAACGTGTCCAGTCTGGTTAGGGCCGTAAGTATTTATTATGCACGTGTTGTATGCCCAGCAGCGTCTCAGGTTCAGAGGGCACAGAGAAAAGCAGAAAAGAAGAAGAAAGCCCACCATGTGTGTGCCCTCTCCGCTGAGCCCTGTCCGTTTCCTTCTCGTATGTTCCCAGAGTCCCGGACTCTGATTTGAAGGTAGGAATCGCATTATTCGTTGTCAGAACCTCAAGTGCTCAGCAAAACAAGCCTCGCTGAATGAATGAATGAATGAATGGAAGGAAGGATTATCAGAGCTGATAAGAAATGTCTGTTCTCTCGGAGAGATCCCTCAGGGAGGTTGGGACAGAGCTCTCTCATGGTGGGAGCACACTGTGCTTCATTCAGACCGGCTCTCGGGCAGGAGCTGAGCCCCAGTGTCTTGCCCTACAAAACGGAAATGTGTGCACTTCCCGAGTTTGTGAGTGGGTGAGCTGCGATGTGTGTGCGGCTGCTTAGAACAGAGACTCAAACCCGGGTCGACGGCTTCGACAGGCCGCCTCCGCTGTCCAGCCGTCCCTCTCAGGTGGTGCAGATGTGACTGTGAGCAGCCCCATGCCCGCCTGGCCGGGGTGCCCCATGGGGTCGTGCTCTGCAGAGGCCCCGGCAGCTCCTCCTGACGCCTTCTCACCCACCAGGTGCCGTGTTACTCATACGGGCAGAAGCTATCCAAACTGGCCATCCTGAGGATCGCCTGCAACTACATCCTGTCCCTGGCCCGGCTGGCTGACCTCGACTACAGCGCCGACCGCAGCAACCTCAGCTTCTCCGAGTGTGTGCAGCGCTGCACCCGCACCCTGCAGGCTGAGGGACGTGCCAAGAAGCGCAAGGTACGTGCCACCGCGCGGGCAGCAGCCTCTGGGAGAGGCCAGGGGCGGGGGGACAGGAGCTTGGGGTGCCCACACTCACCCAGGAGTCCGAAGGGCCAGTGAGATCCGCCTCTCGGAGCTTTGCTGGGGTTGCCCCAGCTTCAGAGCTCCTCACAGCCCTGGGATTAGCACGGGACCCTGCTCCTGGTAATGGGCTGCTGGGCACCTTAGGCAGCCACCCCGGGCCTCCGGGCCTGCGCCTGCTTATCACTGAAATGAGGACGATTTGTCTCTGACGCTCTTTTCAGCCTCTGTGCTCTGGTGCTGATTCCGCAGCGGGGCCCTGATGGAAGTTGTATCAGGATGGGATCCCCTGAGCAGAGGAGAGCCCGGAGAACCCTTGGGCATGTTTTGGGAAACGGACTTGGCCTGTGGGTTATCTGAGGCTGTGCGTTAAGGTAGAGGATATTCATTCATTCACTCACTCATTCATTCTGGAGGGATTTGCTGAGCCCCAGTCTGAGTATGCTGGGCAGGACCATAAAGATGATAAAACATATGGTCCCAGTCCCCACACACCTCACAGGATGGTTAGACCCTCCAGCCAGTAGAGAAGGGCAGGGCAGTGTGGTGAGGGTGTCCCAGAGGCCTGTGCTAGGGGCTGTGGAAGGCCAGGCGGAGGAGGGACAGGTACCTCTCCTGCCCAAGGGAGTTTGAAAGGGCATCTTAGTGTAAGTGGTGTTCCCAGATGGCCTGTGCGTCCAGCATTTCCAGTTGGGGGCCAGGGCCAGGTAGTGCTAAGCAGGGTTTATGGAAACCTTCCGGAACTCTGTCCCCACGAAGCTAGAGGGAGAGTCTATATCCGTGAGGAGGGTGGTTGGCTCCCCTGGGCCTTCAGACATGGGACGGGTGGGGAGCTGTAACTGGCACCCTCCATGGTTCCTTCCTTCCTGGCCTGCCCTCCCCCTCCCCAGCAGGTCCTCCCTGGGGGTTCTCCAGGTTTCCCAGAGGGCCCTGGGCCCCATAGCTAGGGGCCCTCCATGGACTCCCCTGCCTACACGCGGAGGGTCACGGCATGTCCTCGCAGCCCGCCGTGCTGCTGTGATAATTGCACACTGCATTCCTGGGAGTGATTAACATGGACCAATTAGATGAAATCTTCATCGAGTGGGTGAGAGAGGAAGTGCCAGTGGCTGCTCACAGGGCGGCTTTCCACTGGAAAGTGACACGGGTAAATTAAGGGCGTGATTGATGGCTCCATGCACCGCCCTGTGACAAAGGAGGTTTGTAAACTGTCTGTGAACTTCCCCTGGCACTCGCCAGTCTGGAGGGCTGGATGGGCAAAGTGGGCAGGCATCGTTTCTCCATCTCTGCTCCTGTTCCCCACCCCCAATGCCTCCCCTCACAGCCCCTCCCTTCCCTGTTCCTAGATTGGAGCAGTGTCCTGGGCTGGGGAGGAGGCCAACGCTGGAAGCTGAGGAAAGAAGGGAGAGTGGGGTGAAGATGCCCAGGGGAGAAGAGCTTTTGGTTTCCCCTGAAATCACCTCAAATCTAAGCCACACTAAAGATCATCAGGTCCAACCTCCCCATTGCCCAGATTGGGAGACTGAGCTGGAAGATTGTGGTTAAGAGCATCCAACAGCTCTGACTTCAAAGTCCTGGCTTGCCACCTGCCAGCTGTGTCATCATAGACCCGTTTCTTCACCACTTTGAGCCCCAGTTTTCTTGTCACTAAACAGGGACAGTGATGATAAATCGTCAGTGATTTCTAAGGTCCTTTCCGGTCCGACTCTCCAAGAGGAGGTCGTGCCTCACCTCTGACGGGCACTGAGCAGCTTGCATTCTGCATCACCCTCCCACCAGGCAGGCTGTCCTGGGGCTGCCGTCTCCCAAGTGCTGGGCCTGGGCAGGCACCTCTGCCAAGAGGACTTAGATCAGCGGTTCTCAACCTGTGGGTCGCGACCCCTTTGGCGGTCGAACGACCCTTTCACAGGGGCCGCCTAAGACCATCCTGCATATCAGATATTTACATTACGATTCATAACAGTAGCAACATTACAGTTATGAAGTAGCAACGAAAATAATTTTATGGTTGAGTCACAACATGAAGAACGGTATTTAAAGGGCCAGAAGGTTGAGAACCACTGACTTAGATGGAAGGACGGGACAGGGTCCCAGAGCTGTGGGACCTCCTAGGGCTTCTCAGGCCCAGCATTCTGTCCCAGCAGGTGGGGGGCTCACAGGACTACCCCACTCCTGCTGCTGTGCCTTCCTGCCTCTCCGTCACCATGCAGGTGTGTGAGTTCCGAGGTGTCCTCAGGGGCAGTCTCCAGTGACCTGCCCAGTGGACCTGAGTGGCTGGAGTAGGCCTCTGTTTTGTTAACCAAACCAAGGGGTATGGTGTCTCTAGAGATTCACTCATTCATTCATTCATTCATTCACTGTTTATTGAGCACCTACAACAGGTTGCACACTGGGGAATTCTATGCTGAGCACATGGGCACTGTGACCGGCGGAGCGGGCTTTACCCTCCAAAGTCCCTATAGACAGAGGGTATGGATTTGGGGCTCAGATCAAGCCCCAATTACCCGCTCGCCTGCAGCCACTGAGGGTTTGGACATGGGAAGGAGCCTGGCTTACATCCTCACGAGGGAGATAGAAAGCAAAGATAGGAAGAAACTGGAAGACGTGTCAGTGTAAGTGACGGGCTCACACGAAGTCCCGGATAAATGGCAGCTGGATGGTGATGGTCACTGATGCGGTTGGTGGAGACTTGAGGACGCTCCCTCACAGCTAACGTGCCCCGAAAGGCTGGGCGATCCTTTCCAGGCGGCCTCTGGGAGAGGTGGCGCTCAGGTCCTCTGCGGTCCCTTGCAGTTCTGACCGTTGCCGTCCCTCCAGTCGTGTGTTAAGAATGGGATTTACAGTGAACCCGGCTCGCCCCCAAGGCCCAGGTGCATCCTTTTACCTTTCCTACGGGGTGGGGGACTGCATCCCTTGGCCGGTGAGTCTTTCATCTTTGGTCCTCGCAGGATGTGCTTTTGGGGGTTCAGAGCCCCGTTGGGAAGCCCCAGTATTGCAGAGGCCCATGTCAGAGGCCGCCCAGTAGAGAGACAGGCGGGAGGAGTTGAAGGGCCCTGGAGAGCTCAGTTCTGACTCCGACTGCAGCCAGAGATAATGCACTTTAAGCACCTGGCTCTGGGCCATGTTTCTGCAGCTCCTGTTTTTAAAGCAGCAACTCCTGGAAGCTGAGGAGGAGGAGAAGCAGGAGGAGGGGGAAGAGGAGGGGGAAGAGGAGGAAGAGTAGCAGGGGGAGGAGGAAAAAGAAGGAGGAGAAGAAAGAAGAGAAGGAGAAGGAAGAGGAGGAAGACTAGCAGGGGGAGGAGGAAAAAGGAGGAGAAGAAAGAGGACAAGGAGGAGGAGGAGGAGGAGGAAGAGTAGGAGGGGAGGGGGAGGGGAGAGGTGGTGAGGGGAAGGAGGAGGAGGAGACAGAGAGGAGGAGGGGTCCTGGCCTGTGTGACTTAGTTGGGGGAGCATTCTCCCACACACCAGAAGGTGGCGGGTTCCATTCCTGGTCAGAGCACATGCCCAGGTTTTGGGTTTGATCCCCGGTCCAGGAGCCTGGGGGAGGCAACCTATTGATGCTTCTTTCTCGCATTGATGTTTCTCTTTCTCTGCCTCCCTCAATCTCTCCCAACAATCCAGGGCACCCCCTTCCAGTGATGTTAAGCCACTGCATATTAACAACAACAATGACAGCTACTAGCACAGATGGCATAGTTTAGGCCAGTAAGTTCCTGCACTCTAGTTGCTCTCAGGCCCAGGGTTGGAGATGGGGAGAGAGAAGAGGCATCCCGACGCCTTGAATGAAGGGCTTGGGCCGAGGCCTGGACAGTGATTAGGGTCCCCGGGCCATGTGACTGTAGCCGGCACCGTCGGGAAGGCCGGCTCTGCGGGGCCTGAGGATGCCCCTCACGCTGTGGGCGACCCGGAGCCAGAGGAGGCCCGATGCCAGGCAGCTCCAGCCGCCCCTGCCTTCCTCTTCGTGCCGACCTCTGGGCGGGGGAGGCCTTTCGTGCTGGTGGCAAGTCTGAGAGTGGCCTGGCTCCTCTTGGGAAGGATGTCTCAGGTGCCGACGTCTGTAGCTTCAGGCCTGGGAACTGGCTGAGGTGGCACGTTGGAGTGGGGCTGGGTGTCCGTGGGATCCGAGTGTTCCGAAGGGCTGCTTACTGTCTGGGTGGTTGAGCCCAGGCCCCAGAGGGCCGTTCCCGAGCCCCTGAGTGTGCGAGCGGAGTCTCCAGAGCACCCGCCCCCTCCGTGTGCAGGGCCTCTTGTGCCCCCAGAGCGCCCCCTGTCCTGGCTCCGTCTCCACCTGCGTGTACATAGTCACCCTCCTCAGGGCCTCCTCAGTCTCCCCTTCTGTCAGGTGAGTTGTTGCTGGAAGTGATTTCTAAGGCCCTTTCCAGGTGGACTTCTGAGCCGAGGTCTCCCCAGCCCCTTGTGCTGTCTCTCCATGATGAAATGTGTTACTCACTTGCCCCTCTGCCCGTCACAGGCATTGCACACGGATAGCAGAGTCCCTCACAGAGACTGTGGGGACCCCAGTGCCACACGCCCCAGAACACTGAGCACACCCCATGCTCTCAGAGCCTGGGTTCCGTGCCAGGCGTGGTGCTTACTGCTTCCGACACTCACCTCACTGACCCCTCCTGCCAGCCCTGCAGCCTAGGTGCTGGCGTGCCCACCACACAGAGAATGAAGGCCAGGCGCCGGCCCAGGAACTGGCCCAGGGTCACCCAGCCAGTGAGAGAGGTGTGTCCGGCTCTCGCCGCTTCCTGCCACCCCCCCCCTCCCCCGCCGCCCCCCAATGGAAGTGCGCTGGGTGAGAGGAGGTTGTGTTTCCCAGTCCGCCGGCCAAGTTATTGAGTTAAATGCCATTTGCTTTCAAAGCCCACAGAGTCCATCGATGCTGGGAAAAAGGGGGGTGGGTGGGAAATCACCATCAAATTTCCTTCTTGTCATAAAAATGGATGCAGTTTATTTTTTCTGGCATTCCAATTACATAGGCGTTTGTCACCAGCTGTTTGTTCTGACACGGAGTGTTCTCTCAGCTGCTGTTTCTCCTCTCGGTTTGACACGGTTAGCCCACAAGTCTGGCAGGGACTGGCTGGAGGGATCACTGCTGGGGAGCCTCCCAGGTGAGCTCAGAGCCACTTCCCGCTGCCCTCAGATGTCCCCTGGGTGGTCCCGAGGTGGGGGTGGAGACTGGGGGCGCTGCTGTCCTCTCCCCTTTCACGCTGTGTTCACCCCCCTCCTCTCTCCTTTTTCAAATCGCTCCCCTCCTGACATGGACTCACAGATCCCACTCTTCTCCCCAACATGCTGTGTATGAATGAAAACTTGGGGTCTCGGGTATCTATAATAATAAAAGAGTAATATGCTAATTAGACTGAACGTCCTTCCGGACATCCTTCCGGACGACCTTCCGGACGAAGCTGGGGCTGCAAGGGCTGCGGCGGCCGCCATGGCAGGTGGGGACGGAGGCAGAGGCAGCCGGGGGCCAAGCCCCTTGCACAAACTTCCTGCACCGGGCCTCTGGTAGTGAATAAGCATTAACCATCAGGGGACATGGGAGGCCCCTTTAACTTGCACAAATTTCGTGCATCGGGCCTCTAGTAGTGAATAAGAATTAACCATCAGGGGACATGGGAGGCCCCCTTTAAGGCTCTAACTGATCAGCCTTTGGAATGCAGACTCATCAGAGAGCCACTGATCTTAGAGCCAGGGCGCCCCTCTGGAAACCCCTGCAGAGGCTCCCGCCCCCCCTCCTGGAACCTGGAGGAAGATGTCTGTGTAGATGGAGGTCAGGTCGAGAGAACACTGTAGTTCTTTTCCGTTCCCTGTGGTGCTGCCATTTAACGTTAAGGCACACAACAGGGAGACCCTTGCTAAGACCATGAAGTAGGTGAAGTGTAGAGTTTTGGGGCTGGAGACCTGCATTTGAGTCCTGATCTTGGCCCTTCCTAGCTGTGTGTCCTTGGGCATGTTACCTAACCTCTCTGATCCCCATTCTCTCACCCCTAGAGTGAGAGCCTACGTACTTTCTATGCCGCCTTGCTGGAGGGATTAAACAAGATCCCTCCCTTATGAGAAAGGGCTGGCATTTTCTGTGAGTGCCAGAAAGGAAATCCCATGAATTTACAGCTACAAAATAACTTTACGTGGAACCCCAGGGAGGAACATCTCAGAAAAGGGCAGTCCCCAGGGCTGGATGAATGACTGACCAGCCAAAATGCAGGTGAGGGCAAACAGTTCTGAGTGGGGGTTCTTCCCTCTTTAGCACTTTAGGCTAAACTCCTGCTCCTGCACCTTGAAGGGGGGCAAGCATGCAGCCAAACCAGAAATCCCTTGGCTTCTGAAGTTCATGGCCTCACAGCAAAAGAACATGCATGGCGTTGGTTTCACACAGAAATAATGCTAATAGACAGATTACCACCACCAATCACACTGACTGTGGTAAGGACCCACGGTGCCAGGCACCTCGCATACATTCTCTCTACCCCATAGCACAGGGGGGAACTGAGGCCGGGAGAAAGGCTCTTGCCCAAGGCCGTGTGGCTAGAAGTGCTGGAGCTGTTACACGTCTGTCTCTTGGTTCCAAAGCCCGAGCTCTTCAACCCCGGAGGCCGGTCCGGCCCTGAAGCTGACACACAGCCCCGCAGGGTGGCCTGCGCCCAGGCGGCGCCCAGCAAAGGCCGGTGCGGGGCCTTGCCAGAGCAGCAGCCTTATGTAAGCAGCCCGGCTGCAGCACGTGGAGGCTTCATTAAGCTGCGGGGAGCCGACAGCCCACTGGCGGTGGCGCTGGGGGTGGTATGGGGTGGGGTGGGCGCGGGGGT